CGAGGGATAGGCCAAATGAATGGCCATTTTCAGCCAACCCGCTGCCTAGCCCATTTTGTTTTTTTTTTTTTTTTTTTTTCTTTTCCACTTGCCCAGCCCAGTTTCATTTTTTTTTTCTTTCCGTTTTTGAATCTTTCAACCTATTTTAGGGCTTTCAGGCCACTTTAGGTTTAGGGTTTATGAACTTCTTTGGTTCCAGCCCACTTTTTTTTTATTTTTTATTTTTATTTTTTATAATTTCTAATTTTTTCCTACACCATTTCTCACATATTTTTCATCATTCCATACTGTAGCCTTTTGGCTTTCGGTTGGAGATGATTTTTTGTGACAGGGCTAAAACGAGCCCTCTGGCCCTTTGGCCCTCGGTTGGAGATGGAGGCAAATATAGTCATGTACTGTTCATTAAAATATTAATATTTTGGAAGGCCAAAGGGCTAAAACGAGCCCTCTGGCCAGCTTTCGGTTGGAAATGGCCTTAGGGATTCTGATTGGGTCATTTTGGTATTGTCGAATTTCAAAAAAACCAAACAGTCGGTTCGGTTTCGATTATTTTCCTCTTTCCCAAACCCACTATTCCTACCATGTTTTATACCACATTTCTATATCATCTTAGGTGGCATCTGATGTGGACAACCACATCATTTGAAAATTTTGTAAAACCTAAGGAAAGGAAGGAGAAAGAGTTCTCGTATACCACAATCATCATTTAATTAACTAGTTTTTCTTAATTATTAGTTTATTAAATAATGAACTAAATTTAAAATTCTAAATAATTCAAAAGATGTGGCTATCCACATTAAATTCCACCTAAGGTGATATGAAAATATGATACAAAAATATGGTATGAATAACATTACCCTTTCAGTTCGGTTTTCGGACTAACCATTAACCGAACCGAACCACCCTTGCTTGTATAGCTTTGCTTTGGAAGTTTTGGCCATCGCTTAGATGTGCATGTGCGTGTGCGTTGCTTTTTATTTATTTGTTTTATTAATTTTCTGTGGAACGAAAATATTTTCATTAGAAAAATTTTAACTCTATATTTGAAAAGACATCTACATGACATCAAATATACTAATTGTAAAAGTAACAATCTATCAACTAGTACTATATTTTAGTAATATTCTTTCGTACTTATAAGTGAGAGATTTCATATTTGATTCATATGAATGACTGATGATGTATTATATTTATGTTGAGTTCGATACCTAGTTAGTGGCTAACTTATTGTGTATCCTAACTCAATCCCTTCTTTCTTTAGGGTCTAATATCTTTATATTAAAAAAAAAAAATCTTAAAAAGGAAAATCTACCTACATCACCAAATATAAGGGAACTTTAACGAAATGCTCCCGGTACTGTTTACTTTAACGAAAAATCACATTCTTACACTAAAAAGTCAATCTTGGTACTATTCACTTTACCCTTTATTTTGTCCTTATCATTAAAACTCAAAGTTTTCAAGCATTTTTCATTGATTTTCCTTTTAAACATAATTCAAAGGCCCATGAATTTATCAAATCATGCCATGGAAAACCTGTACAACAATTGACGAATGAACTCGAACTTGGTCTCCTATAGCGCTCCAACTTGGAGCTTAAGCTTAACCTAAAAATGTATTAGAACAGGCAAAAATAATTTAGAAAATTCTGGAGCTGACATTTACTATTGCCTAGAATGCCTCATTAAATTGGCGACCCCACATTCGTTCTACGCGTAGTTTAACCACTTAGAAAACCTATTGGCTACAACTTCTTTAAGTTTCTTTGCTCATGGCAAAGAGATAAGGCAAGGGAATTAAAGGTAGAATTACTACCTAATTCCTATCTTTAAGCTTTCCTCATTGAAGACAAGTTCCTTTACATAAGGAAGCCCCCTCACATCCAATCAAGGATTCTCCAAGATAATCCTTAGAATATTATGAACTAGATTTAATAATATCTACAAGGATTATACTAGTCATGGCACAATTACAACTCCATTCATCGTATGACACAATTTTAGCATCTAGACTGACACATGACATGGAAATTCCTACATGCCCATGCTCCCTATAACTGCCCCATTCTACATACTTCTCAAGTAAGTTGAAGTTGACTCTCTATAACTCAACCCTAAATCTCAGTCTCATTTCAAAGAATTTGACTTAAAAATTAGAGGTTCATTGGCCAATTACCCCCCTCTCAGGCGCGTAGTTCTTGGTCTTAACCAAATATGTTTAATTTGATTTCTAGGTACAATTTCGTCAAGTTTAAAGAAGATGGATTTTTGCTATTACAAATTGGTTCTTTCATTGAAAGCTTGATTTAATTCTCAAAGAAGCAATCACAATTCATTTCTGAATTTCTACTCTTTTGGAATTTCTCTAATGTGCCCAATCTCCGAATATTTTAATTCCTTGATTCGTTTACCCTAGAGGGAGGAATAATGGTCGAAAATTTTGATCCACAACAAACAACGTTGTTATGTACATGACATTGATCGGACAATGGAGTTAACAAAGAGGCCCTGCCTCGGCCTTGCAAGCAAGGGCGACTACCTCTTTCTGTAGGCCTTTGTCACGCCCTGGATCCCGGGTAAGTGAAAAAATAAACCCCGCCTCAGCTATACAGCAAGGGCGACGACCTCTTAGGATGATTGGCTATGTTATCTTAGATTTCCTTCTAGATAGCCTCCGATTTAATTGAGACAAGAACTCTGAAGGTCTCTATAAATACCTAGCTTGGGCATTTATTTCTTTAATCAATCACAACTAAAGATACATCTCTCTAATATGATATTCTCTACAAGACTGCGATTCATCATCTTCTCCACAAGAGTCATATTTTCACATATACGCCGCTATCTATGAGTAGACGCGTTCATGGAAAACCCATTTACTTAACGTCTCCCTATAAGCTATTTGTCAAGGATGGTTTATGATGTTGTGCACATCACACCATTCTTTATTAAAACTACACCAGTGGTTTGGTTCTCCTTATCGAAGATATATAGGCAATCCAACCTGGATTCAACCACACCCCCAGTTAACCCCATCATTCCTTTGCCGGTGATCATGGGTAATTCCAGTTTATTCACGCCTCTATTCGTGGATGTGTGCAAATTTGTTTCCAACACTTCTTGTTGGGTTCTTTTTTTTGTTTATGAAATTAGAGAGAGATTGAATAATACCAATATGTAGCCAAGATTCCTTCATGATTTGTTGGTTATTTGAATTTCTCGGTGGTTGTTAGTTTTATGGCTCTGAAAGAGCAGCAATTGAAAGGGAAAATTGGATGAAAGAGTCACATGATACTTTTCCTATGTTTTCTAACTGGTCGACCTAAGACTTTAGTTGAAGGCTCATTAATTAATTTGCCCCTTGAAACTAGCTTTGTCTCACTTTATCAGCCTAGAACTATCATTTTCATCTCATTTGATCTCAGTTCACCTTTTCACTTAACCCTAATTTGTTTTCCCAACATTTCTCGCCACAATTTACATGTGGCATGGTAGATATGTGGTGATCAACCAATATTCCCACGTAAGTGCCACATCACCAAGCATATGGCTTATCTCTGTCTGTGTTAAAATTGAAATACCTGTACTACCTTTTACCTTAACGTCTATTTGACGGAATGGACGAAAATGTATGAACTAAGACTAAATAAACAAATCACCACAGGTGGCCCTATGGTTACCGACAAATTAAAGGCCCGTATTCCACATGGCATATCATGGGTTAGGTTTCTGGCGCTAGTGAATCACACAATGATGGCTAGAGGGAAGCCAAAACAACTTTATAAGTCTTCCCAGTTCCCGGAAATGGTAGACTACCTTGGCAAAGCCACCATCTGGTTAAAAAAAAACTAAAAAAAAAGACAAAAATAACAATTTCAGGAGGGTAAAGTTAGACAAATTTAGAGTGAAACTAAATGACAATTTTTTATGGAGCAAATAAGTTAATAAGCATATAAATTATAATTAAGAAAGGTTTAAGTGTTTAAACGCCCCCTATGTTTTACTTGTCCAAACGATTTTGGTCCCTGTGTTTAACTTAGTTAGTTAGTGTGCTCATTTTCCATCCAGTTACAGTTAGAAATTTACAAACATATTTCAATTTGATAGAATAAAAATTAAGAACACAAAAAAAACTATAAAAGAATTTAAAAATAAAGAAAATAATAAAAATTCAACAACAAAATTGAAACCTCCCGCCTCATACTTTTCTCCTAATCTCAGCCACCACCATCATCGAATCCATCCAAAGCCAACACTCCAACCACCATGAATCGCTAAATAACCACCCATCCTATCTCTCTTCGAAAAAATGTCACTCGCACGGCCTCCCACTTACCATCGAATTTTGCATCATCTCTCCAGCGTTACGTCGACATTGTGTTGCTCTCCACCTTCCACTCCCCTGTGCTAGCGTTGACCTCATATGACCTGAATCTGAGTCATATATGCATCCACCACCTTCATAGCAGCCAACCCTGGGGAAGCAACTGGATTAACGGGGGCGTTTTGGGGGTGCGGCTGGGCTACTTCTATCGATTTGCACCTATTTTTAATCTAAACTTTTATTTTATTTTATTTAAACCTTCTTTTTAAATAGGGTTTTAATATTTAAAATAAAATATTTAATAATAAATTAACAGAGGTAACCATGTTGGTTAACGATTTAAAACACAAAATACTAAATTAACCAAATTAAAGACACGGAAATTAAATGACCGAACATGTAAAACACAGAGAACAATTTGACGTTGAAATCTTAAAAAAACCCCCAAACCATTGAAGCCTTAAAAAACCCAAAACCAGTAAAACCTCACGCCTCCTTTAATATATAAGATATAAGATAAAGATACCTAGACTAGATTACGTGTTGGTTGAATAAGAGACGTAGAATGGTAGCCAGAAATACGAAAGTGCCCCTAACCTAAAGAGATTGGACGATATCTTTATCCTGCATCTCCTGTCTCTCTCTCGATTCCCAATCAGTTCCTGCGTGCCTGTGTTTTCACTCGGGCGCCGCAGCAGCTCCTCAAAGAAACCCTAACCCTAACCCCCAAATCCCTCTATCCGCGACGCCCTGCTCCCCTCCTATAATGGCGAAAAAGAGAAAGCTCAGCTCCACCGAGCCCTCCGAACCCTCCAAAAAGCAACAACAGGTCGTTGAGGAACCCAAACCCCAAATTGAACCAGCACAGGAAGTAGTCGAAGAGGAAGATGAAGAAGTCGAAGAAGAGGAGGAGGAGGAAGAGCCGGAAGAAGATAAGGAAGATGAAGGAGCCGACGAAGAGGAAGAGGAAGAAGAGGAGGACGAAGAGGAGCCGGGCGCTGAGTATAAGGAAACCTATAACGTAACCACGACCTCCATCTCAGCGGCTTCGGATCAGGCCGGTGCCGGTCACGACGACGACGAGCCGATCCAGAATCTTCTAGAACCATTCACCAAGGAACAGCTTATCGCCCTGCTCCGCGAAGCTGCCGATAATCACGGCGACGTGGCGGATCGGATCCGGAAGGTTGCGGATGAGGACCCAATCCACCGCAAGATCTTCGTCCACGGTCTCGGATGGGACACCAACGCCGAAACCCTAACTGGCGTTTTTAGGGAATACGGTGAGATTGAGGATTGCAAGGCTGTTTGCGATAAGGTCTCTGGTAAGTCCAAGGGTTACGGTTTCATTCTCTTTAAGACGCGTTCTGGGGCCCGAAAAGCCCTACAGCAGCCCCAGAAGAAGATCGGTAATCGGACAACTGCATGCCAGCTGGCGGCAATTGGCCCTGGCCCGGCCCCTAATGCCGCTGCTGGACCTATGGCGGCCCAGGCGGCTCAGTCCCAGCCGATGTCGGAGTACACGCAGAGGAAGATCTATGTGAGCAATGTTGGGGCGGACTTGGATATCCAGAAGCTGCTTATGTTCTTTTCTAGGTTTGGAGAAGTTGAGGACGGGCCACTAGGGCTCGATAAGCTGACGGGGAGGCCTAAAGGGTTTTGCTTGTTTGTGTACAAGTCGGCAGAGAGTGCGAAGAGGGCTCTGGAAGAGCCACACAAGAATTTTGAGGGCCATATTTTGCATTGCCAGAAGGCTATTGACGGTCCAAAGCCGGGCAAGTCTCAGCACCAGCACCAGAACCAGCACCACCACAAGTCACATAATTCCAAGTTTCAGAGGAATGAGAATCCAGGTTATGCAGGTGGAGCTGCATCAGGAATGGGGCATTTGATGGCGCCTGCGAGTGGAGGGATTGGATTTAATCAGGGGGCTCCTGCAGCCCAGGCGTTTAACCCGGCAATTGGGCAGGCACTGACTGCTTTGCTTGCAACCCAGGGAGCTGGCTTGGGGTTGACAAATCTTTTGGGGACGTTTGGATCTGCTCCAAATGTGAACCCAGGTGTTCCTGGTGCAGGACATGTGATACAGGGTGGATATGGGAATCAGGCAAGTATTAGTCCTGGGATGATGGGAAGCTATGGAAATCAAGGTGCAATGCAAGGTGGCTACCCTAACCCGCAGTTAGGGCAAGGTGGTTCAGGAAGAGGGCAGCATGGCGTTGGGCAATCTGGTGGCGCTCCGTACATGGGGCATTAGTTGCCCTTGAGGTATAACAAATTCGCTCTTTTACTTGGTAATTTGAATCATTCTCATCCAAAATGATAACAAGTCACTCCTATACTTACTCCTTTTTGGTAGATGGCAGTAAATTTGGCATTTAGATTGATTTTCAAGAACCAAATAAGTGACTTTTCAAAAGCCTATAAATCCCTCCACTATGTAAGGTTTTGTTAATATTGTCTAGCTGCCGCTGAATCTCTTATCTGGGAGTCAGCACAAACCAAAATTGAAAATTTGGGGTGGGTTAATTTCAACCCATTGGTATTTTCCGGGTTCTTCTAGACCATACAGATAATTTTCTCTTGCCTTCTTTTGAATTGAACATCTTGGGCTTGCCCTTCTTGAACTATTTGATAGTGTCTATTACTTGCTTGATATGTTATCTTTCAAATCTATTGCAATTCTAGTTCTGTCAAATATTACAGAATTTCAGGGTAAAGAGTCACTAATGAGAATACCTTGTTTCGTGGAAGGTGGTTTTTGGCATGCCACTATATAGATCCTTAGGTTTTTGCATAGATCCTGCTATATGTTCTCTTTTTGACATGTATTGTGTCACGCACACGTTCCATCAGTCGGAGTATGTACTATTGAGGTTTAATGCAAATGCTGACGTTTACTTTGTGCTCCATTAAACCAATCCAAAGTCCAAACATACGGATGTCGAGCTTGTACTCATGTTAAACCATTCTAAAACCTACAAAATGAATGCTCATGAGTTCTAAAGCTTATTTTTATTGAGTGGTGCATTATTTGAACAATGTCTTTAGAATTGTTTGACCATTTGAAGGCTCCTTTTTTACCAAGCTCCTAATAATGGATCTCTCCAGATTTGTTATATTTATGTATTGCGAATCACCTGAGTTTTTGCAGCAAGTTCATATTGGCATTCCATGTGTAATTTAAATGTTGAGACCGGTTCGCCTTTGGAACTTGAAATCTAACTTGTATGCCCTTTAAAGGTATCTTGGGTGCTAAAACCTTCTCTTTTGAAATTATTTTTCACATTTTTTTATTAAATGTGCAGATCCCACATAGGTGCATCAGTCTTTTTGTACTGGTCTGCTGATTCTTCTGAAGTTTAAAAGGAGCTGATGGTTACTACAAAGAGCAGAATCTTAAAACTATTAAATTATATTTCTGTTTTTCTCTCCCTTTCTGTTTTCGCGTTCTTCAAAGTACTGTAGCTTTTAATTTGACTTGTTTGATCAAGAGTTTGAGAAATTACTTATAAATCTATCTGTATTTTATGGAGTCAGCGGGGTTGGACAAAATTACTTTTTTAAATTCCCAAATCCTACGGATTAAATGAACTTGATAATGTAGTTTTTTTTTTTTAACTGCTCATTGTTTACTTTGTTTATCGGTGCTCTTCATTGTTTTTCTTGGTTTTGCATAATTTGTTTTTAATCTATGGCATCGTAAATTGGAAATTTTAAATTGTTTTTGTGAGTTGGAAACTGGTACCGAATGGCGCTCTGTGAGTTGTGATGTGTCGTTTGAAACGTTTGGGCACCATCAGATCTTAGACTTTTCTCTTAAAGATGGTAACATGATTCAATTGTTTAATGCAGTCCTTTGGCAGGTATACGTGATGCAGGTTCTGCGGCAATAAGTACTACTACGATTACTACTAGCTACGTATACAATCTTTACAATAGAAGTGTCTTGATTTACAAAACTTGTCAGACGTCGATTGATTTTTTTTTGATTGAGAATTTCTGTTTTTTTTGAAATTTTGATGTCCCCGTTTCTGAAGAATAGTTAAAACTATAAGAAGTATGCGTTTGTGATATACCATCTTTACAATAGAAGTGTCTTGATTTTAAAAAAAAAAAAAAAAAAAAAAAAAAAAGAAATTGTCAGATGTCGATGGATTTTTTTGATTGAGAAATTTTCATGAAATTTTGATATCCCAGTTTCTGAAGAATGGTTAAATTAAGAAGTATGCGTTTGTGACCGAGTCACCTTGAGAGTTACTGACTGAAATTGTAATACTTGAATAGCAGTTTTTTGACATGAGACTCTGACTTGTTAATGGTTTTTCAGTGAATTGAAAATTAGTTTTTGACCAATGTGTTATAAAACTGGAACCATTTTCTAACGGTAGACTAATTTAAGTATTGTTTAATCCTTTAAGAGTTTTGAATTAGGATTTGTGATCTGTTTCAAGTGAATGTTTCTAGTATATTTGTTGGTCGTGTCACCATGGGTATAGAGCTTGGAGCTGGTCATGTGGATTTATCTTCATCGATTGAAACCATTAACATCATCGTAATACCCATGAGCGAAACAAAGTTCCGTGGACCTCAGTATTGGTGATACCTCCTCAGGGACCAATTGATAGGCTTCATGGGAGGAAGGTAAAAAATCGCACGAGGTAATTGAAGGCTTCATACTATATTACTATACTTTAGCCCCCATTGAAGGCCTTTTTAAAGCTCTGCCGAGCCTAACGAGGGTTTGATCCGTGGATCGTCTGTAATTGTGAAGATGGTAACTCCCTTGACTGTCAATGCGAATTCTCTGATTTGAGATTTGTAATCCCACGGGTCAAGTGTAATTGTGAAGACGATACCTCCTTCGACTGTTGATGCCAATTCTCTGAATTGAGATTTGTAATTGTCTCTCCTTCGTTGCCATGGAGAGTGGAGAACAAATGATATGTGTTGGTCAAATGACCGAATCAGGCGGCACTGCCCAGTGCCCACATGGGAAGTCCAACTGCCCCCCTTCCCTTCCTCCACCTCCTCCTCTCTAGAAAGCTCCCACCTTCCCTTGCTCACCCTCAATTGTCTCCTCGGCTTGCCATTTTGAGAGTCGGTGTGATGCGCCCTCGGTGTTCATCGCCGCTTCTCTGACCCCCCCTCTCTCCTCTTGCATTGCCTTTTCATACCCAAGCCTTCATCTCCCCCACCCCTTCCCTCTTCCTTACTCATAATCCGTCCCTAGCCCAATGTCTGCTCAGATTTGTGAGCTTCGACTGAAATGGATGCCATATCCATTTTCCTTCCTTAGTGACCCCTCCACCGATTGGTATGTTGGAATTCTCTCAAGGGCGAGTTTTTTGTGGCTTCGGCTAAAGTAAAGGGATTTTACATACCCCTTTAGCTCACCCTCCATTTGCTACTGTGTTTGATTATATTTGCAGGAGGTGGTGAACATGATTTGGATCCGATGGCTATCTATTGGTTCAGCGTTTCCGATAACAAAATCTGGTTGTGGTGTGCTTTTGGTTGCGGGTTTGTAATTTTTGTGTTGCAATATCTTGATTGAACTCACCACTAGATTGTTTTCTCTAGTGTTGGTGCCTTAGTGGCTGCTGGCAAGACTGTAGTGGCCGCAGCGACGGTTGTGTTTTGCATTTTTGGAGGATAGGAATTAAAGTTTTAGTTTTTGTTTGTTTGCTTATTGGGCTGAGCTTGTGTGAAGATGAATTTCCAAATGTGTTATTGGTTGCTTTGCTTTCCTTTGGATGGCCTCGTGAACCCTTTCTTATGCTTAATGAATGTTACTTTCCGACCCAAAAAAAATCCCCCCACTTCCAATTTCATTGATAAGACTCGGACAAGAAAAAGGAAAAATATAAATAAATAAAAAAGGCATTAAGAGTTTTCTAAAATTAAATTTTAAATATAAAAAATGACATCGATGATGTGGTAGAAATTAACACACAAATTAAACTCTGTATAGATTATGCGATTGTAGTACGAGTAAGTAGAGATTGTTCTATTCCAAGAATTATAAGGAGTGTTAATTAACACAAATTAAACTTATAAAATTGAAAACTAAAGTAAATGGCAACAAATAAATTAAGTTGTGAATGAAATGTGGATGAAATGATAGTTAAAGGATTCTTCTACACACATAAAACATATGCATACAAATCGATTTCTAGTTGTTATTTCTATAAATCATGAATGATAATGCTGCAAATTAATCGTGAACATCACTAATTAACTCATAGATTTTCCTAAGTTCATTGAATTGGACTTAGCAACGGAACCAAATTATTCTTCTCAAGTTCCCTAACTATGAAAAGCATGACAGAGATACATCTCGAAGATCATCAAGTTCTTTGAAAATCATAAGCATTGACGAAGTATTCGTAACTATGAAATGCATGATACTCCTGTCAAGAATTTACTTAACTCAATCATGACTAATGACTTTTACTACTTACAAATATAAGTTCATGATGATTAGGTGAAATTCCCTTATGTTCTAGCATCAAATCTCTGCATGCAAACGAAGTATGCATCATTAATAAACATACAAGAATAAGTTCTGGCAGATAAGTAAATCGCATTTATGTTGTATGAAACAATAACTGGATGTAATCAATTTATATAAAATATTGATGCGAAAATAATTAAGCACACAAATTAAACCCTCTTTTTGTCAATTGTAGTAAGTATGTAAGTAGGGATCGTTCTTAACCGGGGATTAGGAGGGAATGCAAATCACTTGGAAACTGACTCAAAAACGTAAAATAAAGTTTAAAACATTAAACTAGACTCAAAGAATGCGAAACTAAACGCTTAAAACACTAAAACAAACCAAAAGACTCAAATATCACCCAAAACACTCAAAACTGCCTTAAAAACACTTTCTGGGCAGTTTTGAGCACCTTGGTGAATTTGGACGAATTTGTGCAACAAATTGAATCAAAACACTTATAAACACAAATTAAGACACTTTCTAACTAATTTGGACAATAAAGTAAAGGCGGATTGGTTTTGGATGAATTTGAAATTAAAACAGAAACTTGGAAACAAAACAGATTGTAAAACGAATTTGATGGAATAGAATGGATGGGATGGCTAGCTAAGGGGTTCATCTCCACACATGTTACACTTGCATATAAAACGAATCCAAATTGCTTTTCAATAAACCATGATGCTTAACACCCCAAGTTAACCGTGATGCACTAATTAACTCTCAAATTTTCCTTATGTTATTGAATTGGATGATGCATGCGACAATTCAAATCATTCTCCAATGGTTCTCAACATTAATGCATAGAAGAGATACAATGAGAGATCATTATGCTCTATGAAAATTATAAGTGTTGACGAGGCAATTGTAACTATGAATGCATGATACTCTTGCCAAGAATTCATTTAACGCGATTGTTTATAAGCAACCTCCACTACTTGTGAATATAAGTTCATAACTATTAGGTGAAACTCACTTATATTCTAGCATCATATTCATGCATGAAAATTAAGCGTGCACTCTCAATAAACATATATAAATAAGTTATCAATCAAACAGTTAAACAAATTGAATTCACAACTTATGAAACGCAATTAGAAGTAATCAAATCATATTGCAAGCATAAACATATATTTCAAATCCCCCCTAGCCAAGGGGGGGTTTAGTTCCTCATACGTACAAAACAAAGAGAATTGAAATTAAACATTGAAATCAAAGGAAAAGAAACACCTAAACATTCCAACAACTCAAACTTGAATTGTATGAACGTTTAGGCCCTCTTCTCTTCCTCTTTGTTGCTGCACAAGGTCTAAGGAATGGTTGTGTGATGGTGTGAAGTGTGTATGAATTTCTGGAATGGTGGAAATGGGCACGGCCAAAGGGAAGTTTTTGGTGAATTTCTGAATATGGAAAAGTGAATTGTGTATGAAAATGGGAATGGTTTGTATGAATGCATTGCATGGTTTTATAGGAAGAGAAAGGGGTGAATGTGCATGTGGCTGCAAGGTGTGAATGATTATGGGTGCATGTGGTTGAAATAATTAAGGGAATGCATGTGCAAAACAGCTAGGAAAAGTTCTTTTGTTGATGATTGTGTTGGTGATGAATGTGGAGTGGCTGGAATGAAAGGGAAATCATGGCACAAAGGTGGAATGACAGCTAGGTTATGATGATGAATGCATAAAGGTGGAATGACAGCTAGGTTATGATGATGAATGCATGTGGATTAGGTTGGAATTGCATGTGGAATGGCTTAAAGGATGAAAGTGCATGTGGCTGCAATGTAGCCTTCTAGAAATCAGGTTTTTAGGCCCCCTTGCAACTCCCTAACTGAATTCAAGCCTTTCAAATTCGTCCATCCTCATGCCTCCATGCTTGCACTATCCAATCTTGGCCCAAAAATGCTCTAGAATGCTCCAAATTGCTTCTTTTTGCATACTTTGACACTAAAACCTGAAATTACACGAAAATAACTTTAAACACTATAATAACTAAAGAAACACAACGTAAATGCACGAAAACAAGCAAACTAAGGCGCATAAATATGCTCCTATCAAATTCCCCCACACTTAGCTTTTGCTAGTCCTCGAGCAAAACAAAACAAAAGAAACCAAAAACAAAACAAAACGAACAAAACACAACCTACACCTTCCAACATTTGCCTCAGGGATTTCCAATGCACATGACATGTTAAAAATCATCATTCCCACAGATTTTAGTCATCTTCACACTTAAATACATTCTTAATCATAGTCACCACATACTAGTTCACAAGTAAGCATTTAAAACCATGTTTTGAATGTAGTAACATGCCTTAGAGAATTTGCTCAATTCCTTACAAGATATGCACTCAATTTTCACTCAGATTTTCTAACTACACACCCTAATCTAGTTACCTATGAGAAGATTGATGTAAACATGAAAACGAACACTCACATATATGTATCACAAAGAAAGTAATTTCTGGAGTTAATAAGCATGTTTAGGTATGATCTCATGAATGGAATGCTACTACTTAGATGCGAGAACCAGTGACACCATATGCTCATACCAAGTTCAAACTCCACAAATTGAAACACATAACACTCAAGATTGAAGTCACGGGTTGTAACGGGGCTTGGGGTGTGTGGATAACAAAGAAGGGATATGGAAAACAAAGGTTCTTAAAGAAATAGTGAGCAAAGCACTTGAATCAACTTAGAATTCCCTTTTGAATGAAAACTCAACTTCTGAACAAAAAGGGAGAACAAGCTCTTTTCCTTTCTTTATTTTCTTTTCTGTTTTTCTTTTTCATATGTTTTTCACAATTTTTTTTTTTTCTTTTCTTTTGAATCTCAAAACATACATATAAACTTAAGAACAAACATTCCCTCCTCTACACTCATTTTCTTGCATAATGTAACTCAAAAGGAATTCATTGAAGTCATGCTCACTATCTTTTAAGAACAAGGGTGTGAATTGTCCTAAACTAGGTTAGGTGAGAAAAATGTGGGTTAACAAAGAATAAAGGCTAAACAAAGCTCAACGGGGTTAAAACTTACAACATATACGAAATATGGGACGTAAGGCTATTTGGCTATGGTGGCAACTACACAACTTCATCTTGATATATGTTATGCAATTCAATGTCATGCTTTGAATGAAACGGATATAAGTTCTAGTATTTAGTTCTATCATGATACAATTGCATTCTAAGTAGCAACCAAGCAAGGAATAATGAGATCATGCAACAACTTTAGAAAACAAAGAATCACAGATTATAACTCTCCAAAGAAGGTAATGGCTCGAGTCTCACAGGGTTGTAGCGTTTGTTTGAGTTCCTTTCTTCAAACATGTTACAAAAACGAATTTTTCTTTTATGATTGCATGTGAAGTCATACATTATAACCATAACCAAGCATATGCCAAGAGTAAATCAAACTTTTCTCTATGTTTATAACTCTTTTTAACAGTCATGCAATTACAAACCAAATCCTTATCATTGTGTTGGAAGGTACCCTAAGACACAAACACACAAAAACGACTCAAAACACTCTTTTTAGGCTTTTCAAAACATGTTTTTCAAATTTTTATGTGATTTTCGGAGTTATAAAACAAAACATACTAAAACACTCTAAAACATCTTAAAAACACCTTAAAACAGCAAGGAACAACATTTGAAGTTATGGGTGATAAAATCCCACGAATTTGTATCAAATATACTTAGTTACCCCCCCCACACTTAAATCAAACATTGTCCTCAATGTTTTAAGCATAGATTCACACAAAACATAAGTAAACACACAAACAGCACTTAAACATACTAAACATGGCAAAATATATCTAACAAAGAGAAGAGTTTAGGGATGCAAATCTGGTTATGGAGTGTAAATTCCATCTTCTCCTTGGTGATTGCATTGAGGCTTGATCGTGAGTTTTTCCACAGGCTAATCTTGAACTGAGCTGGAGGATTCTGACACATGGCAGGCAAGCACGAGGTGGAGGTGATGACCGGTTTCTTTGTTCAATCTTTCCAATTCGTATTGAAGAGGGTTTAGAGGATAACTCAGCATATGCAGTTGTTGCGTTTGCTGACTATCCACAAGATTGATGTTTCCTCGTCACTCGTTTTAGCTGTTCTCCAAGCCGATGTGGTCCCTTCTCTGGAAGTGTTTCAACCTTTGAAGATGACTACTCGAGAGCAACGCTAGGTAAGCAACCAGGGAATAGATTCCAGGTAGTTGGTTC